TAACCGAATATCGGTGGTAAGATTTGAAAACTAGCACAATATGATGTTATCAGTCAATTTAAAAGATAGTGTATTCACTACCCGATCAAGCACAGTTTATGTTGATTTAAAATCAAAAACAAATAATATATATTGACACAATATGAATGTATTATATAAAAAAACGTATGTGTCTTGTACTCTTAGTCGGTCGCAGTACAATAGTCGAACCTGTCTTTTAAAAAAAAAGTTTTCCCTGCTCGGTGCTGCACCAAACAGACAAAACTTTGAAGGCAGTAATTTTCTCAAGTGGGCGTCTATTGCACCCACCGAGTACTGTGTTACCTATCTGCCTTCGGACTGCCCGAGCTAGACCTACTAAAATCCTCAGGGCAGTCACTTTTCCCAAAAACGTATTATGTTACAATCCACACCAATGAATCACGCTCTTTTTAATTTAGATTTAGTGTCGCGAATATCCGAGTTCGGACCTGTTTTGTTTTGGTCTGGTTCTTATTGAAAGGCAAGTTACCAGTGCAGTCACTGATACCTAGCCTGTGTGCTAATAACCTAATACTTCTCACTTTTTAGTCTTTCTTTCGTCTACCTAAGTCCTTAATAAAACAATACCCCTCCGGATTGGCACAAATAGGACCCTTCCGGATTGATAGAATCTAGACCCCTCCGGATTTGGACCCCTCTGAGTTGGTTACTATAAGACCCCTCCGGATTTGGACCCCTCCGAATTAGCAACTATAAGACCCCTCTGGATTCGGACCCCTCCTAACTTGAAAAATCTTTGACCCCTCCGGATTGGGAGCCCTCCGGTTTTGTAAAAGTGGCTTTTCGGAGATTTCCTTTTTTCAACCTATACCCATCCGGATACGTTCTCCGATGCAATTATGCTCTTTCAATTAACTGGGAAGGGTATTTACTACCTTCATAGACCCTTCCGGATTGAAGTTAAGCCTCTTATTTGACAATTCACGCTAACGGTGAAGGGTCTTATCGCTGGCCTAACTTCGGCTCGATTAAGCTTTTGCTGTGCCTTTAGCCCTCCCTTTTGGTCTAGACTGGCCTAAAGTTACTTTATTCAACCGCTATTACCTTTTGGTAGGGGTCTAAGGGTTTTTCAGAAAAATTTATAAAACGTGAAGGGTGTACCCCTCCGGATTTGTGTAATTTGCTAAAAAACAATCTCAAAAAATTTTCACGCTTACTTTTCCAAAAAATTTCTGACCCTATCAGTAAGCTCAGCTAATTTCTGATCTATTGGTACCAAGATCAACTCAATATGCTCAGTAGTTCCAAAGTTATTAACTAAAACGTCTTTCTTGCAAACTAAAAAAATTTCTCGCTTATAGGCTCCACCTAACTTTTTCCGCAATTCTGGTCCTTTCGACCTAAAAATTATTGATCCGAGCTCAGAAGGCCTATACTCTTCTCGTTCAATGCAAAAGACCCGATCTAAAACGCTTTTGTAGGAAAAATTTGCGAAAAACTATGCTACCTGGACCCCTCCGGATTGATGAATCCACCAAATCAAACACGTTATGTTCGATTTCTCTGCAACCCGGAAGGCCGGAAGGCTTTCGGGTAGCGGGTTTTAAAACTCGTAGTTTCAATAGTGGACGTTGTCCGAACAACTAATTTTACTGTCGTAACTCAAAAATTTCAAAAAAATTTCTAAATTTATAATGTTCCGTTTTCTCAAAAATCACGAAAATTCGGTTTTTGGTTCCAAAATAGTTCCAACTACTTCCGAACTAAATTTAACCGGTTCTATCTATTGTGGTAGTGCAGTTACGATGTAACACACTAACTTAGCGCTTTTTTCCGTTTGAAAAAATATCGATATCTCAAAAATCGCGACTTGTGGGGGGATCAAAATATTGCTATTTTGACCCTAAAAACCGGTCTGTTTTCGTTGTTTTTCACTGAAAAACGATATAAGACTATTAATATAGGCTATATAAATAATAATATTAGTAATACTATACCCCTCCGGGTTTCCTTAATATCCGAATTAAGGTGCTTAACTCGGATATTCGCAGTTCGGTGAAGGGTCACTACAGTGCAGCACTGTCGAGCCCCCCACAGGTTACTATTTTACCTTTTGTACCAAAAGGGCTAAAAAACTTGTTAACGATACCCAACAGTCGATTGTTGTTGTCGTTGAGCCCCTTCTTGTTGCTCCTTGTACTGCTTGCCGGATCGGTCTTCACCCAAGACCCTTCCGAATTGAGCGCAAATCAGCTGACCCTTCCGGATTGAGCGCAATTTATCATTAACGTGCTTAAATGCTCAAATAACCCTACAGTACAAGCCTCACAAAAGGGCTACAAAACTGATCGTAACGATCCTGACTGATATAAATGCCTGTAACAACAATATATCTATCAACAACAAACGGGGGGGTTGGATCACATCTTGTCTGGGGGGATGATTTCTACTGATTTTTTTTACTTTTTTACTGTTTTTGGTTTTTTCGGTTATTTTTTATGTTTTTTGTTTTTCTTGGGTACTATACTACTTTTTGTTTGGTTTTTCTTATATCTTTAAAGGTTTTTGGTCACAAACCACTCAGGGAATGAGGGGTTCGCGATTCCCCCCACCCTTCCTGGTTCGTGAATTTTCGGTCTTAACTAGGTTAAAAAACTATTCACGGTAATCTGGAAGGCTTCCGCGTTCCGAACTACCCTTCCGCCCCGGCGGTTTAGGCCTATTAAGGGCGTTAATGTGAGCATCCGCTCGGCGCGGAGTGCTCGTCAACGGTTCTGCCGGTCATGATGTCAAAAAGAATAACACCCAGGAGCGCCATAAAAACACGTATGTAACATTCGCCCGGAAGATACATATCGACGGATAACAAAACTAAGTCTTAAGACGACTGGCTAGCATCTAAACAGAGCTTTGCATGCTTTTCACAGGTTCTACCAAGCCAGTACTTTTCGGTGGTCTTTCTAACATCGGGTCGACAAAAACGTTACTGTTCTCCGGCTTCGACCAGAACGCTCAAATTAACTTAATTACATGCAAATAGTGAGCTCATGGCTGGGTCTCAGTATCCCCAGACCACGAGGTCACTCCTAAAAACAGGGTTACTACTTGTTATATTACTATTGTTTTTGTTCAGTAGATAAAAATCATCATCTCCATCGAAGATGGATCAACCCTTTCCCCCCAACTCCTAGCTTCTCATCCTTATCAAAATGAATCTAGATATCAAATAAATTCAAGTCAGGACATGACAGGAAGCTAAAAGTTTTTATAACAGGCTAAAAGTTTCAGTCCCGAAACCCTTCCGGATTCTTGAATCCACTGAATCAAGCTCGCTAATCTTGATTTCCTCCTAATCCGGAAGGCTGGTTTCTCACCCTTCACCGTTGCTCGCAACGGCCTTGCAACTATTGTAGCAGCACAATAGTTGCATCTCGGAACGTTCTCTGCTATTCCTGCAATCTGCTGCTGTTTTTCAATCACGATTATCGTTGTTATCGTCAGCGCAACTAATGTTGTTGTGTTTTCTCTCTCGTTTTTTGTTAAAATGGCCGTTTCAGCATTTCTCAGAAATGTTACGTCATCACTTCGAAAATTTAAAATTTTAAAATACGGGAATATCCTGACCTTCACCGTTCTGCTAATCATCCGAATAACGTCGTTAATCCTTCAAAATCATTAACTCGGAAGGTTCACTGCTAAAATTTCGAAGTCTGCAGAGATTGCATTTTGGCCATTCTGGTCGAATGTCACAACTGTTTTTAACGGCGTTCGTGTATTTTGGGTATCTCGAGACCTAAGTATGGGAACGTTCTTATTTTCTAGAGTGGGGGGATATTTTGGTAGTAGCCGTTAAGCTGTAACGGGTTCTAGTCTCATGTCGCAAGCAAACCGAATTGGCTCCGACCGTTTTTGAGGTAGAAAAACACAAGAGATAGTGTCCCTGACTCTTAAGCCAATTGTTATAGGGCCTATTTTTCGTAAGCCTCATATGTGACCGAAGTAGGCCACTGTTACAAACATCCAGAATTGAACGAACAGCAGAGTTAGCAGAGACCGCTCCGATTTGCAACGATTGTGTCGCTACAATCGTTGCAAGGCCATTCACAACAACGGTGAAGGGTAGAAACCAGCCTTCCGGAGAGAAGATAAGGTTGTTATTTCCCCGGATTCAACAATCCGGAGGGGTCTCGGGACTGGAACTTACATCATTTTATACAAATTTTTAGCTTCCCTATTATGTCCTGAATTGAATTTATTTAACATTTGAATTCAGTTTCTGACGATGAGAAGCTAGGGGTTAAGGGAAAGGGTTGATCCATCTTCGATGGAGATGATGATTTTTATCTACTGAACAAAAACAATAATAATATAATAAGTAGTAGTAGCCCTGTTTTTAGGAGTGACCTCGTGGTCTGGGGATACTGAGACCCAGCCATGAGCTCACTTATTTTGCATGTAATTAAGTTAATTTGAGTGTTTCGACCGGAGCCGAAAGCAGTAACGTTTTTGTCGACCCGATGTTAGAAAGACCACCAAAAGAACTGGCTTTGGTAGAGACGGTGAAAAGCATATGTGACCGAAGTAGGCCACTGTTACAAACATCCAGAATTGAACGAACAGCAGAGTTAGCAGAGACCGCTCCGATTTGCAACGATTGTGTCGCTACAATCGTTGCAAGGCCATTCACAACAACGGTGAAGGGTAGAAACCAGCCTTCCGGAGAGAAGATAAGGTTGTTATTTCCCCGGATTCAACAATCCGGAGGGGTCTCGGGACTGGAACTTACATCATTTTATACAAATTTTTAGCTTCCCTATTATGTCCTGAATTGAATTTATTTAACATCTGAATTCAGTTTCTGACGATGAGAAGCTAGGGGTTAAGGGAAAGGGTTGATCCATCTTCGATGGAGATGATGATTTTTATCTACTGAACAAAAACAATCATAATATAATAAGTAGTAGTAGCCCTGTTTTTAGGAGTGACCTCGTGGTCTGGGGATACTGAGACCCAGCCATGAGCTCACTATTTTTGCATGTAATTCAGTTAATTTGAGTGTTTTGACCGGAGCCGAAAGCAGTAACGTTTTTGTCGACCCGATGTTAGAAAGACCACCAAAAGAACTGGCTTTGGTAGAGACGGTGAAAAGCATGTAGACCTTAGTTTAGACGCTGGCCAGTCGTTTTATAGCTTAGCTTTATTTTCCGTCGATATGTACTTCCGGGCGAATGTTACATACCTTGAAATTCCGACATCTTGTTTCTGAGTTATACATCGCACAAAGCAAAATTTATTTGGCAACCATTTCTCAACTGCGTTACTAAAGTGTTTTTTCATTTAACATCTAAAAACTGGTACTTGCCGGAAAAGTTAAGGAAGGTCGACAACACCACCTCAACTTTCTTGAATCAGTTATAAGATTTTTTAAGTCGGTGAAATTTCATTTAACATATAAACTTTACCGTAATTCTTCAGCTGCGTCGTTAAAATTGTTTCGGACTTGTTAGTTATCTCATATTCTTGTCAATTTGCAGTTGAACTTGAATGAGTAAATTCTTCAGAAAATTGTATTCATCTCTGCAAAGTGATGGAACGTTGCATAAAGTTTTTCAAGATTATCAACATGTCACTGTTCGTGGAGGTAGCGGCGGGTCTGGAGCTTCTTTGTTTCTATCTTTATATCGAAAAGAGTTCGCTGGCCCTAGTGGAGGAGATGGTGGAAATGGAGGACATGTAATTTTTGAAGCATCGCCTGATGTCAAATCGCTCATTGATGTAAAGAAAACTGTAATAGGTAAGGTTAGACAAAGAATTCTTCTTGTAACCACAGTTTTTCAAAACCCAATCTGCACTTATCTCTGCGTTTATTGAAATTAAGCTCTAAAGGGGGGTGAACATGATTTATTAAAAGCAAAGACTTAAATTCAATCTAATCACCTCTGAAATTTGTTCAAAGTCTAAATATTTTGTATTCGCTCATCCAGCGAATCTTTTTCAAAGCAATTTCGGAATTCTCAATCTTGGAATCAGTTTATGTATTATTGGATCAAAACAGTTAGTTTTTGGGCTTTATTACGCTTGCGATAAGCAAGGGTAGTGCAACCGGGTACTTTTTTCCCCTTGGTGACAACATTTACAAATAAGCTGCTTATGCAGCGTTCTTGTTTTGACTGTATAGGGCTTGTGCACTGTGAGGGTAGATGCAAATCTTATTATGATTTTTTAATGAAATAATTTCGGCTGTTTTTCAGCTTATTAAGCGTGGGCTTTAATTCTGCCCGCTTATTTGACTTATGTTTTTTACCCTTGCGATAAACTCGCGCTTCGTCGCTTTCACAGGTTCACAGGTTAACTTCTGATCTGTAAGCCTCCCAGGCCTCTGTCAACCAGCTCTTTCTTGGACGTCCATTTCGTCATTCCATAAACGATGCGTCATATATTTCAGACGCCCATAGTTTGTCTAGTCTTGATTTGAAAACGTGTACACTCTCGCTTGATATTACTGTTTCGGGTAACGAGTTCCAGTCGTTGATGGCTGCAACTGTAAAGAAATTTTGTCTAGCAGTAGTTCTGGTCTTCTTGGTCACAATCTTGAAAGGGTTTTTTCTTGTGTCTCTTTCGTTGATTGTAAAAAATCCTTCAGTCGCTGCTGTATCGTATAGGCCGTTCAGAATTTTGAAGACTTGAATCATTCTACCGCGTTTGCGCCTGTACTCGAGTGTTGGTTGTTTCAAAATCTGAAGTCGTTTCGAGTAGCTGTATTTGCGTATACCTGGAATAAGTTTCGTTGCGCGTCGGTGAACATTTTCAATCGTAATTTTGTCTTTTTAAGGTATGGATTCCATGCCTGATTTGCATACTCCAAATGTGTTCTTACTAAGGCTTTGTACAGGGTCGTTAGAATTTCAGAGGCCAGGTTCACGAAGCTTTTTCGATTATCGCGACTATACTGTTTGCCACTTTCGTCTTTTTGGCGATGTGCTCACGGTATTGAAACGACTCAAACTTTCCGTTTACTTTTTGTCGGCTTAGTTTCCGCTTTATTTTTACCATCCAACTAAATCGGTTTACTTTTTGTCGGCTGAGTTTCCGTTTTATTTTTACCATCTAACTAAATCGCGTATTTGAATTTTAAACATTATAGTTGCCCTTTAGTGTTCTGATTTACCTCGGTAATTTTTTAAACCTTGATATCGTATATATTTCTTTTTTGTACGATTAAAAATTTATTCTGCTCCAATGATTTAGGCCTAATTTTGAGTCGTTTCAATGGAAACAGATTTTTTATGCTCACCTCTGAATTGCAAAAAAATGATAAATGTCTTAATAGTGTATCGGCTTGTCGGCCTCATATTGGTTCCTTCGACGAGCGAGAAACTGCTTGTGTGTGCGTGTCTGTGTTTTGAGGGCGATGGGGCTTAATAACTTCTTTTTTTGGGACTTCATAGGTGTCGGGCTATATTATATCGGCTAAGTTGTTTCATTTGATGAGCAAATAATGTTTTTTTTAGGGCCAGGGGGACTTTTCATATGTCTTAATTCTTGTTGATGTTTATTTGGCTTAAAAGATTTTTGCCAAGGTATTTTTTTTACCATTTTATAAATTGTCTTCCGATGCTGATTTCACATTCTCTTGTCTCGGCATGTTTTGCTTCACAGCTAGGCTTATTCATTGTGATAGATCTAGTTTTTTTTTTCAAAAGTTTCAATTTTTTTTGCGATTTTCTTGTGTTGTATCGCAAGTGGTGCGAAGTTCAGCTTCGTCTCTGTGTTTAATTTGCTTCCAGTCGTTTTTTTTTAAAAGTTTAATTCATTTTTGATAAGGTATGTTTGGGAGTTTGAAATCACTTCTCCGACTTTTTTTTGAAAAATTCACGAAAAAATTGATCCTTTTGGATAATTTAATCGTTACTTCTCGATCGGCCCGCGGTTTTTATCATATTATATTCGTTTGGGGATGAGTAATTAAAGTCATGGTTTTATTCGCAATTTTTCGGGTGTTATTTTCGATCAATTTGTTTGTCAATTGATTTTATTCTGCTTTAAGTGCTTTCTAGCCTCTATATGTAGAACGAGCATTTCTCTAAGCAAGAGGCTCGATTTTAGGAGGTTCTAAGAGCTATCAGATCACCAACTACCACCAAATCGTATTCATATTTTGCTTCTAACTTTCAAAAGTTTTTTATTTCAAATTAACAAATTTGGTTCGTTTGCGCTATTTGCTTTTAATACACTTAATTTTTTTCTGTCGTTCTGTGTACTGTTTTGTTTCATTTGCAATTAAAGTTTCGGCAGGCTAATGTGATTTAGATGTTTTGTTTTTATACCTACCAAAACTTGCTGATAGCGAAAAAAACGAAATGGACGACAGTTTTGTCGCCAGCATAACGGGGAGTTGATTGTAATTAAGAGCATGGGCGGATTTAGGGGGGGGGGGACGCCCTCCTCAGGGATTCGACCTTCTGCCGACCCAAAGGGTCCCCTTTTGGCCGACCATTTTTGGCCGAACAACCCTAAAATTTTTCTAAAGGCGCCTTTGGCGGGCGTCAATATGTACTTACTATTCTTGAAGGGGAGCGCGCGCGAAAAAAAAAACGATTTTTTGTCAAATTTCTTCTTTTTTGGCCTGTTTTTTTTTCAAAATTGTGCCTAAGGCGCTGGAAGTTTGGCCAAAACTGCGTCTTTTTAGTGCTTTAGGAGACCTCGGAAAATCAATTTGGTCGACCTAAAAAAAGGTCGTCAAAATTTCCGAAAATGGCCCCCTCGAGAAAATCCTAGATCCGCTCCTGATTTAGAGTCCAATATAATATTCCATATTCGTTTATACATTCAAGGAACCCATAGGTCTCTGGATATAAATTTTCACTCACAATTTTTTGCTGCGGCTAAGTGGATTACTTGCAACCAGCGCTTCTCGAACAAGATCTAATCGCCCTCAAGACGTGGTTTCGAAGTAACTCAATTAGTCTGAATCTAAAAGTTGACACAATATTGTGTTCAAAGACCCGAATGTTAATCTAAGTTTGCATCTCGGCGAGCACAGACGTGAAAATACGCGTTTTTCCCAAATGTTTCCTTTTTTTAAATTAAACTAATTGTTGCTCTTTTTCCAGTAAAAGGCGATGGCATAAATTTAATGAAGCAAATAATAGAGAGGTTGTGTAAATCGTAGAGAATTCAATTAAAAGAGCAATTAAAATGAACGACGGAAAGTTTCGACACTAAGTCAATGGTTGTGATTTGCTTTCGAATCACAATCACGACATATAGGGCAATGATACCGCGTTTGACCACCTGTGAGCTTCCCTTGATGTACCAAAAACACTAGCTAATCATAGTTTTTTGTGACGTGTTCGGAACAATAACTTTACATTTGCCGATCATATAAGCGAGATTGCGTGCGGAGTGTTATACGGTAAGTTAAATTTTTCCCCAAACAAATTCGCTCATCTTTGAATGTAAGAATTATTGTATCGCCGCATTATGATGCAATAGTATAAATTATAGTCGTATAATCCGGCTATCGTGTAAAACTTAAAATCTTATATTCTGGCTTCGTTTTTATTTTGTCAAATAGCTTAAGCTCGAAGCCATAACTAAGTTGCAGCTATTTTTCTTCTGGATTGAGCGCCGCACCCAATATCAATCAACATTGCTGACTCATTGAAAGAATATTAATCTCGCAAATACGAAGTGTCAATTACTGGTTTTGTATAATTGTAACGTTTGTCGTTTCTTCTGCGACTAGAAAGCCTTTCCTCGTCGGAAAAAAAAAGAAAAAACCTCGTATGACTAAAAGGGAGGAGTTTTGGCTGCGAAGGAGTTGTTACTCAAAGCTGATGATTTTAAGGCTTATCGGGTTCAAGTGGTCGTCACGGAAAGGGAGGAGCGCAGGACGGTGCCAATGCAAAACACTTGTTTGTTCACGTTCCGCTCGGTACAATCATCAAAGAGAACGGGAGTCAATTGATTGATTTGAAAGAGAAAGGAAGCAGATACATTGCTGCTCGAGGAGGATACGGGGGTCTTGGAAACAGGTAGAGCGTTTTGTTGTTTAGTTGATTAATGAAAACAAACTTACTGTTATAATGTCAAGCAGTGGCGTGCACAGGAATTTTTTCAGGGGGAACGTTTTGCGAAAATTTTTTGGAAGTTTTATTTACTTTTAGTTGAAAAAGCCATAAAGACCCAATTTTTTTCCGTAACTTACTGCGCCGCAAGTGAATTGAAAAAAAAAACAGGCCATAAATGCCGTTCCGTTTTGGGCACTTTTTGAAAGGCTTGACCAAAAATTTGCGTTTTATAGCGCGTGCTCCCAACTAAAATTTAATTTATAACTGCGGCAACTGCTTTTTTAGAAAAAATGTCTCGATTGGTAGACCAGAAATTGATGTCGTAAGTCGTAATATAGTGCACTTTGGAAAAGTTTGAAGAACAATTGGTTTTTTTAAACATCCCTCTCCGGCCTCGCCACTGATTTCTTTAACAAATCGTGATAAGAAATGAAGACTGAAATGAATGCTAGCAGACTTAGAAAATTGATACAAATACGAAAAGCTAAAAGTTCTTCTTTTCTAGGACTTTTGCAACCAGTGAGGAAACAGCTCCGACTAAATCTTCGAAAGGAAGTCCCGGAGAATGTCGTTACTTAGAACTAGAACTTAGCATTGTAGCCGACATTGGTCTCGTCGGATTCCCGAATGCTGGGAAAAGTTCACTGTTGAGGTGTATTAGTAAAGCGACTCCACTGGTTGCTAACTACCCCTTTACTACACTGAACCCTCACGTGGGCGTCGTGGACTACCGGGATTCTTTCCGCTTAGCTGTGGCAGATATTCCTGGAATAATCAAAGGTGAGATGTACATACAGAGCAGTAGATAGATTTGGCAGGTTTTTTGAAAGATTTCATGGTTTAATGACAAGTTTTAATTTTTTTTTGGGCTAAAAGCTTCATATATTCCATTTTGATTGGTTCCGATTAAAATTCTTCGATGCTCATGAAAGTGTTTCTTTATTATGTTTTTTTACAGGTGCCCATTTGAACAAGGGACTTGGATTGTCTTTCTTGAAGCATATCAGAAGATGCTCATCATTAGTGTATGTCCTGGATGTTTCGGTTCCCACCTATTTGAAGCAGCTGCAATATTTGAAGTTTGAATTGAATCAATACCAACCGGGATTAGCAGAGGTTCCTAATTTAGTCGTGGCTAATAAAATTGACACTGAAGGTGGCTCCGTGAACTTTCGTGCTTTGACCAAGAAATTGCCTTCTGAAAGTGTGGTTGGAATTTCAGCTTTGTATAATTTAAACACTGATTTGTTACGCGAGAAGCTTCGTAAGCTACATGAACGTAACAGATAGTTTTTGAATGAAGGAAAAGTTTTGTTTTTAAATGAAGAACAATTTTCAAACAAAATGAAATCCAATCACTGTTAAAAGTACATCGACGCTAAATCAACTACTTATTTTTTCAGATTCTCAGTTATGATAAATCGATAACATTCCAATTCATTTTGATTCAATTTAATTCTCAAAATGTCTCGAACAGAACTCAGAAGACAGGCGAAATTAGCCGAGCAAGCTGAACGATGGGAAGACATGGTCAAATTTCTGACCAAACTTTCGAACAATCTAGAAGCGTCAGAAGAATTAAGTTCGGAAGAACGTAACATGTTAGGTGTGGCGTTTAAACATGTTGTCAGTCAGAAAAGATCATCGTGGAGAGTGATTGATAGTATAGAAGGCGCAGTGGCTGGAAATTCACGGGAACTTCAGTTGACTTTGGATTTCAAAGCGAATGTGGAAAAGGAAATTGAACAGATATGCATGGATTTAGTGGTAGGTTTTTCTCTAAGTTCTCGTTTTTTATGCCTGGAAGTCAATTCGTTTAAGCATCTGAATGAAGATTTCCGGCGTTGAAAGTTAACAATAAAATAGCAGTGATATGTTTTTAGCAAGTTGACCACATGTAAGTAAAATAATTTCTAAATGGTCAAAGCATGTGTGCAAATCATTTCTGTTATCAACTCCCGTTCGAAGACAATTCTGACAATTAAGTACGCGATTACCATTTAGTACACGTTGCATTATTCACGCGTTGTTGCACGAACTCCGGAATGCGCAATTATTTTTATTGCAAGAAGGATGTCTATGCGTTTTTTTTAGTGATCTTTATGGCCATATGAAAAGATGTCAGACTCCTTGGTATAAAAGTTGATCCTTTTGTTTTCATCAAACGTCAGCTTGCTTCCACCTCTTAAGGTACATTTGTTTTACTCATGCTTTTATTGCCCCCTTGTATTTAGACATTACTGGACGCGAAGTTGATCCCGAAATGCAAATCAGCGGATGCCAAAGTATTTCTCTACAAAATGAGAGGCGACTACTATCGCTACTTGGCCGAAATAAAACCACCCGAAGTCCAAATAGACTCGATGAAGATGGCAGAAGAAAGTTATGATGAAGCACATGCGATGTGTCTGGCATCTAGCGATCTAAGAGCCAGTCATCCGATTAGACTAAGTCTGGCACTTAATTTCTCCGTTTTTAAGTTCGAGATATTAAAGCAACCGAGTGCTGCTCTGGATATGGCAAAAGAGGTTCGTAGGTTATTTCTGGATTCATAAATTGAAATTTTTTTGAGCCTCGAAGTTTGAAATATAACGTATAATCGTGAAAAACTTGTATACATGCGTTCAAACATAATTTAGTTCAAATTGTTCAATTTTATAGATCTGCTTATTGTTGAGTCATAGCATGAGTGCAAATATCAAAACGTGTAAGTTTGGAGCCCTGCTTTTGTTTAGGCCTTTGAAATGGGACTTAGAGACCTAGAAAAGCTAGACGTCGACTCGGCCAACTATAAAGATAGCAAATTCATCATCCAGCTTCTACGAGACAACATATCGGTTAGTTGTTCGGTTTCTGTGACTATAAAATTTTGTTGGATTGATAGCGGGAAGTTTGCCTATTAAAGAAGTTTATAGATTACCTTTTCCATGATTATTATAATACAATGGAAGGCATCATTTTTTTCGAGTTAAAAGCAGCTGAAACTAGCATTTTATAAATTTTTGAAAAATGTATATATAATTTTTCAAATTTAAAGTCTTCTGTTTCAGCTGTGGTCAAGTGACGAAGAGTAAATGCGTCCTGATTTCGACCCAAAACCACTGGCTGAAACTTTGATAAATAGATTTCTTAGTTATTAATTACTTCTTAATTACGTTTGATTCCAACTGCTTTATCCATAAAAAATGCTAATCATTTCACAATGTTGAATTTAAATTTTGATCGATTTTGTGGGTCTGACTTTCACTAATTTGAACAGCAGATCTAAAACTTTCATGTTATGAAAATTAATGAATTGATCCTGAGTTTTGTTGGACTAATGGATTTGAATCTCAGTTGGTCTTAAAGTAAAAGGTGGCTTGAAATGTATGTTCTTGCTGGTTTGTTAATTCTCATTCTATTTAAATGTAATATTATCAATGATTTTGTTGACTCAATGTTGTTGTTTTTTCTGTAAGGATGAAATAAAAGACCGGGTCCAAGGCATCAAAAGGCCAAGGTATCAAAATTGTTTGAAACAAATTGCAAGAAAAAGAAAGAAAGAATAAATTTCTCCGGTCACTCATAACATAAATTTAGCAATTCATCGTTATAGTAATTTTTAAAACGAGACTCGGAGAGGATAGACAACGGGGCCATATGGCCCACAAACGCCTACCCCAGCTAGATTTGCTTCTTTCACTATCAGGAGAAAGAACTAGTAATTTAAGAGTGATGCAAATCATTTTTTACACAAGCATAGCTTGTGTTAAAGTATGAACTTTTTTCCAACCTAAGTCGCAAATATTGTCGCGATGCAAGTGTTCCGACAAAATTTTCATTTTGAAAGTGTTGATTTTGATCCAGCTAATACTATTAAGTACAGCCAATACTAAAGATATTAACACAGAGCTTCAAGATATCATCGATCTGTAGCGTAGAGGTAGGGAAGGAGACCAGCAACAAAACAAGAGGGTTAGAACCTGGGCAGGCTCGGATGTTTTTAATGAACTTTTTCGTATACTAGTTAAAATGCGTCCGCTCTATAAATTGAGGCATGTTAGTTGGTAGATTTTTTTTAAATTGACTGGTATTGCTAATGCGTCATAATTGGTTTGCGTCTTTTAGCAATTATGTAGACTCATAATTGGTGTGCGTCACTTAAGAAATTTTGTAGACTCAAAGTTTTACTCATTCAGTTTTTCCCAGTAGCTTTATCGGTCATATTTTTGCTTGTGTCTGCGCAGTGCAACTTCGCCTCTGTTTATGGTTCCATTTCTGTTCGAATAAGTGTTGATTCTATTTTCTTGCTAGTTTTTCGTGCGGTTTCGATGAAATACTTCTATTTAATGTTTGTAATTGAAGAATTTTTTTCAAACAACTTAATTTCCAATAATTGTTTGGTTCGATCTTGACAAGGATGGAATCGTGATTTTTTTCGCTTTGAAAAGCTGATTTCAGTTAAATAACTGGTCTTAAATTTCTTGTAAATTGATTGCCTCACAGTTATCATCATGTTGATTAGTTTTCTACAGAGGACATTAATTATTCTGAATTGTTGAATAATGAGTTTTGTTGTCTAGATGACTTGGGAAATTTTTTATGAACAGTGATAATACATTTCACATAAGATGATTTAATGGTTTTGAATGCTTTTTTCATCTTGTATTTTACATAAACATTTTTCTCTCCGGGTTCTAAATTACAATTCTGTAATTCATTTGTTCCTTCATTATGCAATTATTGTAATGATTAATTGTTAGGGACTTGTGAATAATTGATTAGTTGCATGAGTCCGATTCGTCGATTTGCTACAAGAAATAATTATGAGAAAACGGTGAGCAGCCGTTGATGAGTGCGATAAGGCAAGCATCTCTCGACACGAGGGTCGTGAGTTCGAATCCCACTTCGGTCATGGTTGGAGGGGTCGCAGTGTCATCCGCCTCCTCAACCAATGTACCTTAGTTTACCTTATGAGAGAAGGAGCAAAAAAATAAATCGAAAAGTATGAATGAATTGAATAAAAAATTGAAGCAAAAAACTCACCTTAGGAGAGGGAGCAAAAATTGAATCAAAATTGCCTTTTGTTTTTATCTCGCTGAATACTGGAAAATACTTAGCCAAAGATTTGTGCTGTGTTACTGGTCTTTGCTTCGCTGTCACATTGAATTGTTAGGGGGCATATGAAAATCTGATTTGCTATATGAGTCTGAAACTGTTTTTCACTTATTTTTGGAAAAAAATTTTGTTAACATTTCATACAGTTATTGGACTTGCCTGCTTTTTTATCTTTTTTTTTCAGAACTGTACTTTAAGTTTTTCTTTGGTTTTTGCGGCTATGAGCTGTTTCCCTGTTGCTCTCAAGTTTTTTTCAAAGGATATTGATCACCAATAAATGATTTGCTAAAACTAGGTGATAGTGAAAATCTTTTTGTGCTTTTAACGTTTTATGCATTAAAATTCTGATGTCATATTTTTCGTCAAATTCTCCTATGATAATAATTCATCGTACTGATTGAGTTTTCTTCAGATGCCATTAATTGTACTGGGATAAAATGATATATTTTCTTGATTAAGTGAATTGCGAGATATTGTTTATCAGTGATGTTAATTCTCCATTAGATGATTCAATGATCTTATGTGTTTCTGAACTGAAATTTATTTCGGTCTTCCCTTCTGTTTTTTCTCTGGCTCAATGCTTGAAACTACCTAGCTTAAGGATTTTTGCTGTCTAATTGTTTTTTTTGCTCTTATGATGATATGATAGGGACATATGATCATTTGATTAGCTAAACGAGTCTGATTTTTCCCCTTTTTTCTGCAGAAACGTGGTCAGCACTTCATTCCTTTATTGAAATTGCCTGCTTTTTAATCTTTTCTCAGTTGTATGCTCGATTTTTGTGAATTAGGTGGTGTTTCCTTGTTGTTTTTTTTGGTACTCAAGTTTTTTTCAAAAATGTTGAGTACCAATAAATGACTGGCTGAAACTAGATAGTTAAAACTTTTTTGCATGCCTGAATGTTTCATACATTAAAAATCTGATGTCATATTTCTCGGCAAATGATCCCTTAATAATAAATGATTATACTGATTGAGTTTTCTTCAGGGGCCATAAATTTTAATGGGATAAAGTGAGATATTTTCTCGATTATATGACTTGCGAGATACTGTTTATCAGTGATGTTAATTGTTCTTCATTAAATGATTAATCGATCTTATGTGCTTCTGAACTTATATTTGTATCTATCATCCCTCTTGTTTTTTTTTGTTTACTTGAAATACTTAGCTCAAGGATTTGTGCTGTCTGTTTTTTTTGCTGTGATGATATGATAGGGACATATGAACATTTGATTAGCTATACGAGTCTGAATCTTTTTTTCCCTTAATTTCTGCAAAAAAGTGGTTAGCATTTCATTCAGTCATTGAAATTGCCAGCTTTTAAATTTTTCCAGATCTGTGCTCTGTTTTGGCGAATAAGGTGGTGTTTCCCTGTTGCTTTCAAGTTTTATTCAAAGGATGTTGAGTACCAATAAATGATTTTCTGAAACTAGACGATAGTTAATTTTTTGCATGCTGTGATCGTTTTAGCATTCTCATTCTGATTTCTTATTTGTCGTCAAATGATCTCATGATATCAAATCCTCGTCCTTATTGAGTTTTCAGATGCTAATATGTCTAATATGTCTTGAGATAGAATAATAGAATTTCTTGATTATATGAATTGCGAGATATTGTGCATCAGTGATGTTAATTCTTCATTAGATGATTCATTGATCTTATGTGCTTCTGAACTGAAATTGATATCTGTCTTCCCTGTTGTTTTTTCTCTGGCGCAATACTTGAAAATACTTAGCTCAAAGATTTGTACTGTCTAATTGAGTACCAGTAAATAATTTTCCGAGAGTAGACGATAGTTCAAAAAATTTTACATGCATGAACGTTTTAACATTCAAAACCTGATGTCGTATTTCTCGTCGAATGATCCCATGATAATAAATCACCGTACTGATTGGGTTTTCTTCAGATGCCTTCAATTGATGTGGGATAAAATTACATGCTATCTTGATTATATGAATTGCGAGATACTGTTAATCGGTGATGTTAATTCTCCATTAAATGATTTAATGATCTTATATGCTTCTGAAGTGGAATTTCTTTCTGTCTTCCTTTTTGTTTATTTTTCTTTGGCTCAATCCTTGAAAATTATTAGCTCAAGGATTTGTGTTTTCTAATTGTCTTTTTGCCTTGATGATGATACGATAGGGACATATGAACATTTGATTAGTTATAGGAGTCTGAGTCTTTTCTTAATTTTTGAAACAACATAGTCAGCAGTTCATTCAGCTATTGAAACTGTCTGCTCTGTATTTTTTCCTGTTGTGTGCTCGTGTTTTCGTGACTTGGAGGGTATTTCCCTGTTAATTTCATTTTTTTTATCGGATGTTGAGTACCAATAAATGATTTGCTGAAACTAGACGATAGTTAAAAAATGTTGCGTGCACTGATCGTTTTAAGATTTATATGCTGAGGTAATCTTTCTCGTCAAATGATCCCATGGTAATAAATCATCATACTGATTGAGTTTTCTTCAGATGCCATAAATTGTAATTAGATAAAGTGAGATCTTTTCTTGATTATATGACTTGCGAGATAATGTTTATCAGTGATGTTAATTCTCCATTAGATGATTCAGTGATCTTATGTGCTTTTGAACTGAAATTTCTATCTGTCTTCGCTTGTTTTTTCTCTGGCTCAATACTTGAAAGTACTTATTTCAAGGAATTTTGCTTTCTAATGTTTTTTTTTGCTGTCATGATGATTTGATAGGGACATTTGAAAAAACCTGGTCTGCAGTTCATTCGGTGATTGAAATTGACTGCTTTTTAAACTTTTTTTTCAGTTCTAAGCCCGATTTATGTAATTTAGGTGGTGTTTCCCTGTTGCTTTCAAGTTTTATTCAAAGGATGTTGAGTACCAATAAATGATTTTCTGAAACTAGACGATAGTTAATTTTTTTTGCATGCTCTGATCGTTTTAGCATTCTCATTCTGATTTCTTATTTCTCGTCAAATGATCTCATGATATCAAATCATTGTCCTGATTGAATTTTAAGATGCTAATAATTGTTTTGGGATAGAATTATAGAATTTCTTGATTATATGAATTGCGAGATATTGTGCATCAGTGATGTTAATTCTTCATTAAATTATTCATTGATCTTATGTGCTTCTGAACTGAAATTTATATCTGTCTTCCCTGTTGTTTTTTCTCTGGCGCAATACTTGAAAATACTTAGCTCAAAGATTTGTACTGTCTAATTGTTTTTTTTTGCTGTGATGATGA